CATAATGTTACTATAAGGATGCGTGGGTGGCTCAGTCGGTTAAGCATCTGCCTTCAGCTCAAGTCATGATCTCGGGGTCCTGGGATGGAGCCCCATGTCGGGCTCCCTGCTCAGCCAGGAGCCTGCTTCTCCCTCTCCTTCCGCCCCTCCCCCTCCTGTTGAAGCTCTCTCTCTCTTTCTCTCAAATACATAAAATATTTTTAAAAAATAATGTTACTATGAAAATTGGTTTTAAACTTGCTGACCCCCAGAAAGAGCTTAGGAAACACAATGTTTCTGTACCATATTTTGAGAGTTGCCGCTGTATAGTAATGGGAATAACCAAATCAGTGCAGGGTTTAAATTTTTTTTAAAAGTCTGTTAATGGTGTGCAGAGAGACTAAAGCAGAAATATACAGAGGAAGAGCCCGGGATTTGGCACAACAATGAGATGAGACTGCCAAAGCCGAACTTAACCATTTGCAGAAAATTTCTTAATGCTAGACTTACAAGAAATAGAAGAGGAAAAAACTGACTTGATTTCTTCCCTAAACTTCATTGTACCCATCAGGATACAAAACTCATTTCTTTAGGTAAGTACATCATAGGTATGGTCTCAGACTCTAGAGTGGTTCAAATTTCAGAAAAATTTATTTTTAATAAAGACAAATTTGTTAAAAGTCAAATTTTGAGTTACTCTATATGCCTTTATAAGACATTATGAAAATAAAAATCACACACTAAAGAAATTATCAGTCTATGTGTCCTATTGTGTAGTTTTAAGACATAATCTCTGTAATTTTATGTTCAGCTAGGCCTGGGAGCTAGACTTGGAATGTATCATATGTAACACAACTTCTAAGAATACATCAACAAACTTTCAGAATCAAATGTGTCCATAAATTGGGAATATGTATAATACTGTACTGTGTTCTACAAATCTGTAAAACTTTTTTCTCTTTATTGTATAAACTTAAAATTTTTAAACATGATTCAGTTCATTGTGTTAAGTATACAAGTTATATAAAAAGAACAGAAACGTTAAACTGACCACAGTTGACCCTTGAATAACATGGGTTTGAACTGTGCAGGTCCACTTACATGTGGATTGTACAATACTATAAATGTATTTTCTCTTCCTTATGATTTTCCTAATAACTTTATCTTTTTATGTGTGGTGTAAGAAAGTGGTCCAGTTTTCCCAACACCATCTGTTGAAGAGACTATCTTTTTTCCATTGGTTATTTTTTCCTACTTTGACCATATAGGTGTGGGTCCATTTCTCGGTTCTCTATTCTGTTCTATTGATCTATTTGTCTGTTTTTGTGCCAGTACCATACTGTGTTGATGATTACAGCTTTGTAATACAGCTTTAAGTCTGGGATTATGATGCCTCCCACTTTCATTCTCTTTCTCAACATTACTTAGGTTATCTGGGATCTTTCTTAGTTCCATACAAATTTTAGAATTGTTTATTCTAGTTCTGTGAAAAATGCTGGTGTTATTTTTATCAGGACTGCATTAAATGTGTAGATTGCTTTGGATAGTATATACATTTCAACAATATTTGTTCTTCCAATCCATGAGCATGTAATGTTTTTCCATTTGTGTCTTTTACAGTTTCTTTCATAAGCGTTCTATAGTTTTCAGCATACAGATCTTTTACCTCTTTGGTTAGGTTTATTCCTAGGTATCTTATGGTTTTTGGTGTGGGTTAACTTTTAAAAGAGCAGTTCAATTTTTAAAATATGCTTTCTAGTCTTCACTGCTAGGAAAAGAAAGTTAGTGCTTTTGAAATACAAATAAATTCAATAATAAAAAATATTAGGATATTGGATTCTACTTCCAGTAATGGCAGATGAGCAAAGCTGTGGTATGAATCTCTGCAGATAATTATAAAATACTTGGCTGTATACAATTAATAAAAACAAATTTTAAGAAACAGGACAGTATCAGAAATTGGTAAAAATAGAGAAAAGTAATGTCAAAACTACAAATCAATTACCAGAGTGCAAATTATTGACCTAAGAGTATGATCCCACACCCACTGCTATCGCAGCAAAAAAGGGGGTAGGAAAAACCACAGCCTCACTGGCAAAATGTGCCAGAAATCAGAGTTCAGAGCTAGGATTCAGAACTGAAAAGGCAGCTTGAAAATTAAGGTGAAAAGCCCAGCAACATGGGAACCTCTCAAATGTTGGAGTGAAAACTAATACATTTATGGGAGAAAAGCCAAGAGTCCCATGGAAAAAATCAAGCTGACACTGGAACAAAAATCTACTCTGAAAAAAATATAGCCACACAGAACTAATCTGTGATTTTGAGGCTTTTCTTAAGTGAGTGGATTTCCCAAACATGCACAGTTCTAGTGGTTGAAAGCAATAATTAGAGTAGCTTAAGGTGTCAGTTGATGGAGTTCAGGACATGCTAACCCAAAGAATCACTATAAAAGAGAACACTATCACTAATAAGAGATTCATATCCCTTCAAGGCAACGGGATAAAACATAAGTTGGAAATTACCATATTAATTTTAGCCAAAGTAATTAATGAAGAAGACCCCACATATTAGTCTTTTTTTTTTTTTTAAGATTTTATGTATTTATTTGTTAGAGAGGGAGAGAGAGCACAAGCAGGGAGAGTGGTAGGCAGAGGGAGAAGCAGGCTCCCCACTGAGCAAGGAGCCCACTGCAGGACTCGATCCCAGGACCCTGAGATCATGACCTGAGCCAAAGTGTGATACCACGCTTATGGACTGAGCCACCGAGGCATCCCTAGTCTGGTGTTTAAAATCTAACCATATATCACAGTTAGGCAATATAAGCTAAAACTTATGATGACAGAATAATAAAAATATTAGTTTACTACTCAGTGTTATCACTGATAAAATACTTAACAAAATAATGCATTTTTTAAATAAAAAACACATCAAAATTCTTTTACATTATCTCAGAATTAAAATTTTCCAGTTAAAAGACCTAAATTAGCAGTAGTGGAAGTACATTATACATTTTAAAATTAATTTTGAAGCTGAAAATCTGAAGGAAAAGAAAGGTTAAGCTCCTAATGAGCCATTACCTGTTCTTATAAATATGTAGTAAAAATTCAAACAATGTTTGCTCTACCACTGATCATTTTCAGCAGTTAAAAATCTATTTATGCTAACAAAATAAATAAATCTGAGATTCCGTTAAATGTAAATGCGAAAAGATAAAGTTCTACATATCTTAAATATAAGAACTATGTTGTTGGCTCTACTAAAGATTTTCCTTCTGCTACCTCTTTCTGAAATACAAAGCCATTTGTCAAATTACAGATATTTTAGAGACTGTCAGTGACAGTCTCTAAACGTTAATATACTCGCCTTCATTATTTCATGAAATAAAAAGGATATTAAAAATAACCAGTTACATCCTGATCACTGCTTTTTATCTAACTACAACTGAAATAGGGAACTGATCTTCACTGATAAATCTTTAAACTCTAATAGAATTTTTTTTTCTTGATCGTTGTTCATAATGCTGTAATGAACATGGGATATTTGAGACCCTAATTTCCTTTCTTTTGGATATATACCAGGAGTAGAATTGCTGGATCATACGGTAGTTCTATTTTAATTCTCTGAGAAACCTCCATGTTGTTTTCCAGTGACTGCATCAATTTACATTCCCACCAAGAGTGCACACAGGTTCCCTTTTCTCCACGTTTGCCAGCACTTCTTATCTCTTTTCTTTTTGATAACAGTCATTCTAACAAGTGTGAGGTGATATATCATAGTTTTGATTTGCATTTCCTTGATGATTTGTGATGCTGAGCACCTTCGCATATACCTACTGTCCATCTGTATGTCTCCTTTGGAAAAATGTCTATTCACTTTCTCTGCCCATTTTTGTTTTTTCTAGTTCCACTGAGAAATAATTGACATACATCACTGTATAAGTTTAAGGTGTACAATACAATGACGTGATTTACATACACTATGAAATGATTATCACAGTAGGTTTAGTTAACATCCATCATCTTATACAGATACAATAAAAATAAAAGAATTCTCCTTGTGATGAGAACTCTTCAGATCTCCTCTCTTAACTTTCCTATATATCATACAGCAGTGTTACCTATAATCATCATGTTGTACATTATCCCCTAGTACTTTTTTATCTCATAACTGGAAGTTTGTACCTTTTGACCAGCTTTCTCCAATCCCCCATTCCCCAACCCCTGACTTTAAACTCTAATAGTATTAATTACATATCAGATATAATGTTTAAAATACACATTTAATAACCAGTAAGGACAGGCCAGAAAAGAGGTTGGCAAAGGCGCCAGGCTAATCAGCCAGCATATTCCCTCATTCTCACTCCAGTCCACTGCTGAGGTTGGATTGTCCCATTAATATTTGGTTATCCATTACTGCATTTTTTCAAAGCATTATGAACATTACCTTACTTACATGTTCCACCCAATTAATGATAATCTAGTTGTAGCTCTAATAGAGTTTTTGCCTATTCGGTCATAATATAAGATCCTTGTAGGCAGGAACTGTATCTTAAATATCGTTGTTGTCATGCATTTCACCTAATATAGTGCTATATACAGTGCGCGATTTAATAACTTCCTTTTTGATGAAATAAAGAATGACTAAGAATTTTTATTATATGTTAAGCAATCTTTATGGAATAGTTTAGAATAGTAGTGGGATCATTTAAGGATCTATATATTTTCCTGCTCTTAAAACTGAAGTCTGGTCTTATTCACATTTTCATCCTCCACCGTTTTAAAAGAACATCTACTGTCAATGAACTTAAAATTTATACCAGGCATCTAACAGTATTCAAGACACAGCAGGAATCACAGAAGTTAGAAGGGACAAAATTGGACAAAGCACCAGCAAAAACCTCTTTTGTAGAGGTAATATGTGGTTACAAATAAAAGAATTTCATTACATTATGTTTGTATTATGTTTACCTGAAAAAAAAAAAAAGAATGGTATTAAACAAAAAACCTAAGTACACAACATACCTGAGTTCGTAAAATTTCATTTTTTGACAACTGCATATCCCCAGTCAATTCTTTCACAACAATGCCCAGTGGCTCTAGACGTTTGCTGAAGTAATTTGTCATTTCGGCTGCCAAGGCTTTCATTGGAGCAACATATACAATCTGTGCCAAAGAAATAGTACCTTGATGTATGAGCAAAAACTACAAGTCATTTGTTTCACAGCATTCAATATAAGTCACAATTTATTGTGAAATATAATTGTAGAGTAAAATATCTTAACAGTGATACCTGAAAAGTACTTATCTTTCTTAGGTAGGTGTGCAGCTGTTTAAAGGACAATGAAATTTGTTTATACATCTTCATCACTTTGAACACTCGTTCTGCTTCAAAGCTAAATGTATTTTCACAGTGTTTCATAGGGGTAATAGGATTTTCATAACACAAATAGGGACTGCCTTACTAGTAATAGAGTAAATCAAGCAGCAATCTTTACATGACATCATGAGTAATATCCTTAAAATTTTCCAGATTTCATGTAACATGTACAACTACAAATGATTTTAATTTTACAATTTAAAAAGTTGTGGTCTGACTTGTTAATTTCCTACCTTAAATTCATTCTTTTTGATAACACCTTGTTGAAAATGCTGGCGTATTTCATGCAAAACTGTAAGCATTGCAATATTGGTCTTTCCAGCCCCAGTAGGGGCACAAATCAGCATGTTCTCATTGGTGTTGTAGGCAGTCTCAAACACAATTGACTGGATTCTATTGAGTCTCCTCATTCCTTTAAAAGCCAGCTGCCCAATCTAAAGAAAGAAAGAGAGAGAAAAAAAAATGACTCATTATAAATGATGATAATGTGAAGGACTCACATAAAATACTAAATGCAAACATTTACTTCTTTGATTAAAAAAAAAAGACGACTAATTTGTTCAGTCTCTCAATATATCCAATATTTAAACCAAAATGTGCAGCTGAGAACTCACAACTACTATACGATTCTAATGCATTTGGGAGTTGCATACTCACTAAATTTGAAAAATATGATAATGACACTATATACCTGTATCTTTGTACACGATCTTAAGTACAAAACAATGATAAATTAATAACATAAGGAAATAAAATGAAACACAGGTATCTTTTGAGTTTGTATGATGATATTCTAGTTCAGTTAGATTGAAGATAACTAATGAAAGTCCAAACAAGAAATATGGATATAAATGAGTAGGAAATTCTGTTTCAATATGTTATGGATTTAAAAATATCTTTCTTAATAGCAGCCATAAGAGTAGGAACAATAGCTGCAGATTATATTCATTCAGAACTTACACTGTGATATATATTAATTGTGAGCACTTTGATATATTTAATTCTCAAAACAATTCCATGGTATAGGTACTTTTATTTATATATTTATTTATTTTTTAAAAGGTTTTATTTATTTATTTTGAGAGAGAGGGAGATGGAAGAAGAGAGAGCGTGAATGTGTGCACACATGGGGGTGGGGGAGGCGCAGAGGGAGAGGAAGAAAGAAGCAGACTCCTGGCTGAGCAGGGAGCCAGAATTGAAGCTTGATTTCACAACCCTGAGATTGTGACCTGAGCCGAAATCAAGAGTTGGACACTCAACTGACTGAGCCATCCAGGCCCCTCTAGGTACTTTTATTATGCCCTTTTAATAAAGAAGAAAATTGAGTGATTAAATAATTTTTCTTAAGGTCTTCCATATGAAAAGTCTTTAGAAATGAAAACTACAATGTCTTAGAGTAAAGAAAAAACTGGATAGGATTAATGGCAGAAAACTGCAATGGCTAAATTAATGTCAGAAAAAATAAATTTCAAAGCCAAGAATATTACCAGGAATAAAGACAGTCATTTCATAATGACAAAGAGAATAATTAATCAGTAGGGCATAACGGTCCTAAGTGCTTATATACCTATAACAGATCTTCAAAATGTATGAAGCAAAAACTGGTAAGACATGCAAATGATTTCAACATCCCTCCCAACACTTGATAGAACAAGTAGGCATGAAAATCAATAAGGTTATAAGCAGACTTGAATAGCACTATCAGCTAATTTGACCTGACTGACATTTATTCATCTAACAATAGTAGAATACAAATTCTCTTCAAGTGTTCGTGAAACATTAAAAAATATACTATATTCTGGGCCATAAATCAAGTTTCAATAAATTGAAAAGTAATTCATACAAAATATGTCATCTGATCACAAAGGAATGAAATTAGAAATCCTTAACAGAAATATCCTTAGGAAATATTCAAATATTTGAAATTAAGTAACACAGTTGCTAAATAACCCATGGATGAAAGAAGAAATTAATAGGTATTCTTAACCGAAGGAAAAAGAAAGCTCAACATATCAGAATTTGTGGATGCTGCTAAAGAAATACTTAGGGAGGAATATATAGCAGTAACCACTTATATGAAGAAAGAAGAAAAGTTTATTTTTTCAATTCATTTTTTTATTATGTTATATTAATCACCATACATTACATCATTAGTTTTTGATGTAGTGCTCCATGATTCATTGTTTGCGTATAACACCCAGCGCTCCACTCAGTACATGCCCTCTTTAATACCCATCACCAGGCTAACCCATCCCCCCACCCCCGTCCCCTCCAGAACCCTCAGTTTGTTTCTCAGAGGCTATAAGAGACTATGGACTCTGAAAGAAGAAAAGTTTTAAGTGGATAAGTTCATCTTCCAAAATAAATTAAAACCAAAGTAAGCAGAATAAAGTAAATAGTAAGGATTGAAGTGGATATCAATGAAATGGAAAACAGAAAAGCTCATTCTTTGAGAAAGTCAACAAAAGTGATTAATCTCCAGCCAAGATTGATCAGGAATAAAAGAGAGAAGACAGAAATTACTGATGTCAAGAATGAGAATGGTAGCATCACTACAGATGCTACGGATATTTAAAAAATTGGTAAATATTAATAAACAACTTTATGTCAATAAATCTGACAATGCGGATGACATGAAAAGTTACTTAAGTTAGGCCAAGATGTCTTAAATATACCATAACCTATAAATGAACAAACTGATAAACTGAACTTAAGCAAAATGAAAAAAACATAATCTTCAAGACATTGTTAAGAAAATGAAAGAAGCCAGCATGGAAGAAAATTTTTGCGAAGTATACATCTGATAAAGGACTTATATCCAGAATACATAAAGGATTCTCTGAACACAGTAGTAAGAAAACAAACAATCCAATTTTTAAAATGGGAAAAAGATTTGAACAATCAATTCACCAAAGGAAATATCCAGATGGCAATAAGCATATAAAAAGATGCTCAACATCATTAGTTATTAGGAGAATGAAAGTTAAAATCACAATGAGATAACATTACATATCTATTAAAATGGCTAAAATTTTAAAAAGTGCCCACTGCAAGTGCTGGTGAGGATGTGGAGAAACTGGCACTCATACCTACTGCTGGTAGGAAGATAAAAATAGTACAATCACTTTGGAAAACAATTTGGCAATTTTTTAAAAGGTAAACATACAATTAACATATGATCTGGTCAGATCACTTCTAGGTTTTATCCAAGAGAAAAAAAAAGTATATGTACATACAAAAACTTGTACACAAATGTTCATAGCAGCTTTATTGTAATAGCCTTAAACCAGAAACAACTCAAATGTCCATCAGACGAATGAATAAAATGTGGCACATTTGGTTTTATTACTTTTTGCATTACCCTAGTACCTAACCAAATACCATCAACATTATAGGCCTCTAAATAAATTTTTATTTACTGATAAATCAATTAAATAAATAAGGGAAAAAATATTTTAAAAGATGCATTTTACACATAGTATCCTCCAAAGAAACAGTAAACTGGATCTAACCAAAATATGTGACAGTTCAGAAACAACCGATACTCAACCTTGAATAAGAAACTTATTTATATTGTTCTTAAAGGTTATAGTTCAAGGAAGAAGTGAACTAAAGCATTAGAATATACTGACAAAACCTAGTACATACTGATGTCTGTAACATTCTACTCAATTCAACAGTCATTACTGACCACTTACAAATACACTAAGGACTTAGGTCAGTATAAATATTCATTTTCTTAACAAAAGTTAGAGCGTATCTAAAATGATCCTTAAAATGTATTAGTTTGTGGCTTACAGGGGAAAAATTATTTTATTTTAGTTTTCTATAATAAAGATAGGACTCATGTGCTGAGGTATTTGAAGGGAGAGAGAGGCACTAAGAAGAATGCCATTTCAGGTGAAAGAAACAGAATATTAGAAAAACACCAGGGTCACCTGCGTGGCTCAGTCAGCTAAGCATTTGCGTTGGGCTCAGGTCATGATCCCAGGGTCCTGCTCAGCAGGGAGCCTGCTTTTCCCTCTCCCTCTGCCCCTCTCTCCCTGCCCGTGCTCTCTCTTGCCACCACTCCAATATCCCTCACAAAGCATGTTGCACATCATAAACTATGTAACAGCCATGGGGTTAAAAATAAAACAATTTAGGGGCACCTGGGTGGCTCAGTTGGTTAAGCATCTGCCTTCAGCTCAGGTCATGATCCTGGAGTCCCGGGATCAAGCCCGGAGTTGGGCTCCCTGCTCACTGGGGAGCCTGCTTCTCCCTCTCCCTCTGCTGCTTCCCCTGTCTGTGCTCTCTCTCTCTCTCCGTGTCAAATAAATAAAATCTTAAAAAAAATAAATAAATAAAAATAAAACAATTTATATGAATACCTTATTTAACATCTTTGAGTATCCATTAGATAAATAATTCTAGAAAATTAGGTATTTTTTTTCATTTAAAGGTCTTTACTTACTGCTTGCATGTGTATAAAACCATTTTCAGTAATCATTCTAAAACAGATGACTTTGTGCCTTCTTAATAGCATATATTAAAGAAAATCTCACCTTTCATTCATGGCTGGGATCATCATCTGCTCACGTGGCAAATACTTATTGTGGTACATTTATTTATTGTTTAAATGGTCAAAAGGGTAGTTACACAATTTGTAATAAAAGTAGGAGAAATACACATTCAGATTATTTCAAACACTGATATGAATTAACAGATTATTTCAAACATGGATATGAACTTTTAACACATAGTATAAATATAAACCAGACTAATGCCATTTTCGACAAATCCGTCACGATGAGGGTTCTGTGACCTGAAACTTCTAGAGCACAGCCCCCTTGCCCTCCCACTTCCTTTTCTTTTATTTAGCCACACCCTTAAGTACGCCCTTGGGACATAACATCCTTGATGTGCCCCCAGAGATATGACTATGATGCACATTTATTCTTAAACATTTCCTCTTGGATTGTCCCCACCCAGCACAGACTCCCAGTCTCTAGGGCTATAAAAGCAAGTCTTAAAGGAAATGGGGCTGTGGAGATCTACTCCTCCTGCAGCTGCCCAAGACACACTTCTATCTCTAAGTTCCCTTAATAAGCCGTTTCTTGTCAAGTTGGACTTGTCAGCCTTTATTTTCGGTCTCAGGGCTCCTACGGCCTTTGGAGATCGTTTCACATATACCTCCCTTTCAAGGAACAGTGTAAAACAGAGGAAGAGGGCATTAATAGTTAGGAAAAGGAGACAGGAGTCATGGAGAAACTGTAAGTCATGGTAAAGAGCGTGAATTTTTATTTACAATACAAGAGAAGGTCTCTGCATGATTTTAAGTAGAGGAATAACAAATATATTATGCAGCCATCAAAAGGAATGAGATCTTGCCATTTGCAACGACGTGGATGGAACTGGAGGGTATTATGTTGAGCAAAATAAGTCAAACAGAGAA